AGAGGCCGGAAGGAAGGATGGGAGGGAACTTGGCAAGAAAAGCCCTTTAGGGACGCCTATGGAAGGTCTGCAGAAATTTCTTGCTAAGGAGAAATCCGCACGTTGGAGTAAAAAAGGGCTTTGGCGAGTTCTTGAGAACTTCGAGGCGCTCTAGTCTCCCCTACAGGCGAACCGCACACAAGAAATCTGAGGCCCAGCTTAAAGTTGGGTAAAACTTTGGGACAAACTGCGCGCGGGCCCCGTGGAGCTCTGAGTCAGTCCCATCTAACGGTTCACAAAAACCGCTAGGAGCCCGCAATCTCGGCGGGCAAAGGGCGCCATGACTCACAGCCAGTGACTCAGCGACCCCACCCCGATGCCCCTGAGCTGTCTTCGGCCGCCGCCCAGCAGCTCCAGAGGTCCAAAGCCGAACCTCGCCTGCTAGGTCTCTGAACAGCAACCCCAAAACCAGAGGGTGAAAAAGATGCGGGCCCAAGCTGTACCCCTTTCGAATCGCACTGTGCACACGGCTGCGCGGGGCCGAGCTCTGAGTGCGTCCTGAGCTGTGCGCCCACCACCTCGCGCTCCAATCTCAGGCGCTCTTTGTTTCTTTCTCAGCGCCTTCCGTTACGCTGAAACCTTCCTCCCCTCTTCCTGCTCCTTTGCTCGGGGTCTCCCCACCCACTCGCCCGCTCCCAGTCCGCGACCGCTGCCCACTGGCCGCGTGCCCCTCCCACCCGCGCGCCTCCTCCCACGCCTATTTGGCGCGGTGCTCAGGACCCCTTTGATCCGGTTCTGGGTGCGTTACCCCACCACTGGACGCCGCCGCCTTTTTCAGGACCCAGGGGTGAGCGGGCCATCATTAGGAAAGCCCCCAAAAGTCCTAATCCAGCCAAGAAGTAACGGGACTGTGCTTAGTTCCGAGGAGCAGAGCTAACAAGAGGAGGAAGGCTCCAGGGAACCCCCGCCCCAACCCCCTGCCCACCCTTCCCACTACTTGCCGGGTCCCCATTGGCTGGGACGGTAGTGGGAGGGAAGGTAACAGGTTATAAAAACTGCGCCCTGGGCGGGGTCCGACCCTCTGCTACTCTCGCTCCGAGGTCCCCGCGCCAGAGACGCAGACACCGCCCAGCTCACCGTACCCTCCGCAGTCATGTCCAGCAGATCCATGTCCTTGTCCTCCTACCGCAGGATGTTCGGCGGCCCCGGCACCGGCATTCGGCCGAGCTCCACCCGGAGCTTTGTGACCTCGTCCACTCGCGCCTACAGCCTGGGCAGCTCGCTGCGCCCCAGCACCAGCCGCAGAGTCTACTCCTCGTCCCCGGGTGGGCGGCGTGTACGCCACGCGCTCCTCGGCCACGCGTCTGCGGAGCAGTGCCCCCAGTATGCGGCTGCTGCAGGACTCCATAGACTTCTCGTTGGCCGACGCCATCAATACCGAGTTCAAGAATACCCGCACCAACTAGAAGGTGGAGCTGCAGGAGCTGAATGACCGCTTCGCCAACTACATCGACAAGGTGCGCTTCCTGGAGCAGCAGAACAAGATCCTGCTGGCCGAGCTCGAGCAGCTCAAGGGCCAGGGCAAGTCGCGCCTGGGCGACCTCTACGAGGAAGAGATGCGGGAGCTGCGCCGGCAGGTGGACCAGGTCACCAACGACAAGGCCCGCGTCGAGGTGGAGCGCGACAACCTGGCCGAGGACCTAATGCGGCTCCGGGAAAAGTAAGACTGCGCCCACGCGGGGCCGAGGGAGGCAG